CTTCAGGTAAGTTTTGAATTGAATAGACAATAGCTTCTGGAATTCCCATTTCTTGGATGCCTATATCAGAAGGATTAAAGAGTATTTCTGGAACAGCAAATCTCTCATTGGCCAGACGAAGAATTTGTTCTCCAGATTTATATTTTCCACTCAACACCATCTCTTCCCTTGGCTTAAAGAAAAGTAAGATAAAAAGTTTAAGTTATATTACCTAGTTCACATGATTAAAAATAATAATAGGTATATGAATATATTAACTGTGTTCTTGGAAGTTTCAGAATTCTCAAAAACTATAAAAATCTAGCCTTACGTCCTGTGGCCAAAACTATATAAATAAAACATTACTGACTCTAATATGCCTATTCCCCCAATGATAATCTAGCAGTTTTATTCCCTACATTCTAAAAAAGAAAGAAGAGCATAGAAGAAACTTCATAATCTACCTACACTGATCCAAATTTCTAGAGAAGAAGGAACATAATAAAGACTTTACTATGTCTTGTGTTCCTATTACCATCTACTTTTTTAAAAAATATATTTTTGTTTTAGTTGTAGATGGACACAATGCCTTTATTTTTTGTTTATTTTTATGTGGTGCCAGGGATCAAACCAAGTGCCTCACGCATGCTAGGCAAGCATTCTACCACTGAGCCACAACCCCATCCCACCATCTACTTTCATTACCCTACTTTAGATTTGACGTTTATTAGACATGTGGTTCCATTCTATTAGGATTTCTTCTTTTCCTTACACACACACACAAAAAAAACCCCACCACCCTAAATCTTTACATTTTTTTTACTATTTATTCGCTCTATCAAAAATCAGTTTCCAGGGCTGGGGTTGTGGCTCAGTGGTAGGGTGCTTGCCTGGCGCAGGTGAGGCACTGGGTTCGATCCTCAGTACCACATAAAAATAAATAAATAAAAATAAAGGCATTGTATCTACCTACAACTAAATAATTTTTTTAAAAAAATCAGTTTCCAATTGATTTAAGTAAATATGGTTTTTATCCTTGAAATTATAATGCCAACATTATATGAGGCCAGTTTTCCTTGCTGATTTCTGACTTGTGTTTCACCTCAATAATCTGGCCAAAACACACACACACACACACACACACACAAAAGTTTCAGGTATGCTAAGTACTAATAATTACATAAAATCCAAGTATCTATCAACCAACCCAATGATAATAAGTTAATACTTTCCTTTTTTGAATTTTATCATTCACATACATAATCTTTTACTTCTTATTTATGTGTACCTAAACAACATAAATTATTATTCTGTATTGGCTAAGTACATACTGCTTTCTAAAACTTGTTTTCTATTAAACATCATGTTTCTGAGATTTGTCCATGCTGATCATGTAGCTCTACTTCATTTTCACTAATGCTTATTATTTTATAAAATATATAAAAAATTTATTCTCCTGTTAATAGATATTTAGGCTGATCCCAATTTTTCACTAAAATATGTTACATGCATATCATTATAAATGTCTCCTTTTCTTTCTTTCTTTCTTTCTTTTTTTTTTTTCCAGTACTGAAAATTAAAATCAGGGTCTCATGTATACTAAGTGAGCACTCAACCACTAAGCTAAAAAAATACGCAGACATCTCTTTCTTTTTTTCTTTTCTTTTCTTTTTTTTTTTTTTTTTTTGCTGTTATCAGTTCCCATTTCTTTCCTAAGGATTTTTAACTTTCCAACAGTCCTTATCAAGCAAGCAACTAGAAGGGCAAACTTCACATTTAATTGAATACAGATCTGACATTACCTAAGCTGATCAAAGGTAAGGAAAAATTACTTCATTTTGACAGCTAAGGCAAACTGCTTGTCAAAACTTTGAAAGTGCATTGTATTTTGCCCTTTTCAATCTGATCCTATTGGATAAACATTAATAAAATTCAGCACTAGGTAAACTATGTCAATAATTTTTACAATAGGGGTTGAGGATGTGGCTCAGTGATAGAGGGCTTGTCTAGCATGCACAAGGCCCAATATTCAATCCCCAGCATTACCAAATTAATTAATTAAATTAATTAATTAACTTTACAACATGAAAATAACCAGTTTCTAAGTAATTTAATTATTTTTGGAGGGTGTTGGTCTTTATTGGGATTGAATCCTATGGCCTTACACATGCTAGGCAAGTACTCATCCACTAAGACATATTCCCAGAGCCCACTTTTTAAAAATTGTTTTTATTTCAAAATAGGGTCTTGCTAAGTTGTCCAGGCTGGCCTCAAACTTGGAATCCTTCTTCTTCAGTCCCTGAGTAGCTGGGAATATAGGCATGTACCATAAATTAACTCTTCTTAAACAGAGAAAGATTAACCATAATATAGATAATGATCTACAGATTTGTCCCATATGCTATCATTTGGCTGATAGTTCTTTTCTTTTTTTTAATATTTATTTTTTAGTTGTAGTTGTACACAATACCATTATTTTATTTATTTATTTTTATGTGGTGCTGAGGATTGAACCCAGGGCCTCACGCATGCTAGGCGAGCATGCTACCGCTAAGCCACAACCCCAACCCCAGTTCTTTTTCTTATTTAGTGAGAAATTTACTAATCCAATCTTTATACTCATGCCTGAAGAAATGGCAACCAGAAAAGCTGTCATCAACAACTGTGTTAAGCTCTGTCAATCCCAGCTAGATGTGAAAGGCTTTTCAAACCTGACTGAAGTGGGTCACTTGAAAAAACAACACTGATAATTTTTGGGGGGTGGGGGGCAGTTTCTGGGGATTGAACTCAGGGTGCTTTACCACTGAGCTATATCCCCAACCCTTTTTAAGACAGGGCCTCGCTAAGTTGCTGAGGCTAGCCTAGAACTTGCAATCCTCCTGCCTCAGCTTCATGAGCTGCTGAGTTTACAGGTGTGTGCCACATGCCTGGCACAATTTTTTAAATTACCTTACAAAAGCCCTTCTTAATTGTACTGAAGTCAGGCAAAACATAGTCTATCATTACTGTATTTTCTTCTCCTTTCAACCTGTAAAAAGAAACAATTTGTGAAATATTTTAATTATATGTAACAACATCCAAAAACCAATTTTTCAATTCTTAGATTACTAGTATACATACTTTGGATRTATACATACTTTGCAATATCCATGTCTCTGTAAAAGTCCTGAGACACATAGCATACATCTTCTTTCACTTGATTAATCACATGTGTTTCATCCATAACGTGTAGCTGCCTAACAGAAATATATTGTAAAATTTGAAATGGAGAAAATTTGAATATAACTTACAATTATCATTTAAAACTTTTTCCTGAAATTAAATTTGGGATCACCGATTTTTTAAAATATTAAACTCTTTAATGTGTAAAATATTTTAAATTTTATGGAATACTCTCATTTCCATATCCTATTTAATCTCTATATTATTCCTCTATGGACAGGTTTTTAATCCAGTTTGTAGATAAACAGCGGTGTTTAGTATTAAGGATTTCCCAACTAAAGAGCAAACTTTTCTCCCAACAATTCTGAATACAATATTGCCATTATGCCTTAACATTTTGCTTTTTTTTCCTAATTGTAGAAGTTTTACCCACTAGCACACAGAATCTAGCATATAAAAGATGCTTAATATTTGATATGTGAACCTAAGAAGATATAAATTTAGTGTAGTAAATAAAAAACAATAAAAAGTGGTATGATAACCTTTGAATATTTTTCTGTGCAMACAGATTTTATTATATAGTTTATTTTTTGTTATCAAAATCAGATGAATCTGTAATATGTACTTATCCCTAATGTTGGAAGTTTAGATCAGAGAAGAAGATATTTATGTTCATTAACATGGATTTTGGAGTCAAAGACCTAGGTTTGAAATACAGCTGTAGCAGCCAAGTTACTTTACTTTTTTGGGATTAAATCCCATAAATGCTAACAACTACTAAACAGAATTATAAGAAGTAAATGATTATGATAATACATATGAAGTGTTTAACATAGTCTGTGTACTTAATAAAAAATTTTCTTTTTGATTTTGTATATTAAACATCTTTCTATTCCACATTTTACCTTCTCTCATGTACCAATGAGAAGAAAAACTGCCAATTAAACTGTGTCAATTCTGAGGTATTGACTATTGGAAAATTCATCATTTCGAAGATTAAAATGTGGGGGGAAAACACAACTCAGAATCCATGAAATATAGGCATTTTATCTATATATCTAATTACCTCATTACTTAGTCATATACTAGGACACAGAATATCAAATAATTTTAGTCTCTTAGCATATTTCAAAATTGTTTACCAGAAAGGTTACTTCAAGTTGTATTCTTATCAGTAATCAATAAATGTCCTTATAAAAAGTCTGCAACATCATTTGAAAAAAATTATGTTGTAAAAACAGCATTTTGTTGTTTTTCTCTACTGAGAAGTAAATGCCAAGAGAAGAGGAATTCTATTATTTGTTTTATCTAAGTATCCCAAGATCCTAAGTAATAATATTTGCTGAATTGCATCTGTGATATTATTATAGGAAATGTAACTTTTTTTTTTTGAAATGGTACTGGGGATTGATTCATGTCAATTTACTTCTTAGACTTATGTTTACCTTAGTTTTGATTACAAAGGCTTTTTGACCATTTATAAGGTTTAAAATTGTGATATAAGTTAAAACACAAAAGCTGTCAAAACCTATCCTAATAGTATGGTTCCCAGAGCCTGGGAAGAATAAGTGGGAGGTAGAGGAGAAGATAGAATGGTACAGGGGTACAGCTGAAAAGGAGGAAAATTTCTATGTTCTATAGTAAAGTAAGACAATGATGGTTGACAACAGCTATTTAAATATTTCAAAATAGCTAGCAGAGGGGATTTTGAACATTCCCAATATAAACAAATAATAAATATCTGAAGTGATACGTATGCCTACTATACTGATCTGATATTACACACTGGTATAATATGAGTACTGAAATCACACCATATACACTATAAGTATGTACAAGTACTATGTGTGAATTAAAACTAATATAAATATGTGTGTGTTTGTGTGTGAGTATGTATGTACATTTGTACATACATAAATCTTAGCCTGTTAGGAGCTGGTGGTTTTCCAGACCTGAGGAGGACACAGGGGAGTTTGGATGCAGTCATCTTCTGCTTGAATTGTGCTGTGGTTTTATGGGTATGTTCACTTTTTGAAAATTCAGTTGTAGACTCATGGTGTGCATCCTCTTCTGTACACATGACTTATTTCAATAAATTTTCCATAAAGTTGCATGGAAGAAAATATATCAGGTACTATTTCTTCCACTGTTTTTATGCTTACCACTCAGTTAATATTTTCTTGCTGTGCTTTTTGTTTATCTTTGCAGTGCTAGGGATTGAACTCAGAACTTTGCACATATTAGGCAAGAACTCCACCACTGAGCTACTTCTCCTGCCCTCTTTGTGTGTGTGTGTGTGTTTGTATATGTCTAAAAATCCTGATCTGCCTCAACATTGTCTCCCTTTCCAGCTTGTTGCCTCTAATGTGACTGGGGTGGGGAATTAAATATCCAAACTTACTGAAACTGAGCCCAATTATTTTTTGGTTTTGTATTGAATAACACTGACATAAACAAAATGTAAATGTTATTCATGAGTTTTCTATTTTTTAGAATATTTAAATAAGGCAAGACAGAATTAACTATAAAAAGCATCATATAAGGGCTGGTGTTGTGGCTCAGAGGCAGAGTGCTCATCTAGCATGAATGAGGCCCTGGGTTGGATCCTCAGCACCACATAAAAATAAATAAATAAAATAAAGATATTGTGTCCAACTAAAATAAACAAATATTTTTTAAAAAGTAGCATATAACTGTTATAAACTTAATAATTAAGAAGGCCCAGCTACTCAGTAGACTGAGGCAGAATTAGAACTTTGAGGCCAGCCTGGGCAACTTAGTGAGACTCCATTTCAAAATAAAATATAAAGGGCTGGGAATATAGCTCAGTGTTAGAGCATGTGAGGCACTGGGTTCTGTCTCCAGTATGGAGGTGGGGAGAACAGGAAGTGGTATAGCATTATGCTTAATGAAAAGAATCAATCTCTAAAGGTTATTATATGATTCTGTAACATTCTTAAAATAATAAAAACATAGAGATGGAAAAGAGATAGGAATAGAGTGAGTGTTACGGTTTTTATATGAGGTGACACGCCCCTCTCCCGCCAAAGCTCATGTGTGAGACAATACAGTAAAGTTTCGAGGTGAAATAACTGGTTTGAGGGGCTTAACCTAATCAGTACATTGATTCACTTGAATGGAAACTGAGTAGTGACTGCTAACAGGTAGGGCATGGCTAGAGGAGGTAGGTCACTGAGGGCATGTCTTTGGGGTTTATATTTTGTACCTGGCGAGTGGAGCTGTTTTCCTTTTCCATATCTTTCTACCATGATGTTCTGCCTCACCTTAGGCCCAGAGATATGGAGTTGGTGTCTATGGAATGAGATCATGGAAACTATAAGCCCCAACTAAACTTTCCCTGCTCTATGTTGTTCTTGTTAGATCTTTTGGTCCCAGCAATGCAAAAGTTAACTAAAACACTAGTGGAAAAAATATAAAGCGGTAATACAGGGGCTGGTGTTGTGGCTCAGTGACAGACTGCAGGCCTAGCATGTGCGAGGCACCAGGTTTGATGCTCAGCATCGCATGAAAATAAATAAATAAAATAAAGGTATTGTGTTTGACTGCAACTAAAAAAATATTTTTTTAAAAAAGGAGGCAATACAAAAAGTTCCTTTGTGGTGATTATACAGCTTTACACATGGAATAACTCTGCATGCATTTATACAAATTAATGCATGTAAAAACTGGTAAAACCTGAATATGGTCTGTGGTCTAGTTAATAACATTGTATCAATGTCGATTTCATTGGGTTGATACTGTATTATAGTTTATTAAAGTAACACGAGTCTATCATTTTTACAACTTTCCAAGTCTGTGATTATTTCAAAATAAAAAGGAAAAAGTTTTAATGGACTAAGGTTAGGTGGGTGCAGTGACACATTCCTATAATTCCACTGACTCAGGAGGCTTAAGGCAGGAGTGTCACTAGTTCAAGGCTAGCCTCAGCAATGTAGAGAGACTGTCTCAAAATTAAAAGTTGAAAGAAAGAGAAAGAAAGAGAGAAAGAAAGAAAGAAAGAAAGAAAGAAAGAAAGAAAGAAAGAGAAAGAAAGAAAGAAACAGAAATATCAATAGTAATGCCTACAGAGATTAAAAACATAAAGACACAATTCAAATGTTATACTTTTGTGTGAAAGTGGGTCTGACCTGAGAGGCAAAGAGGGGAGATCTGGTTTCCTTTTTAGTTCCCTTTCCTTTGTATGCATTTGAAATTTGTTTTACCATGTTCACATACATTATAATTTTTAATACATAATCAATATGTTAAATTCCCTAGAATTCAGAAATGTATTTTTGGTAGGCACTATCATTATATATTCTCAAAAGCTTTCCAACTCAAACATCATTAGTATATATATTTTAAGCATGATTTGAATTGCTGCCTGAAACTACAACTAAAAGTAAGAAATAATTTTAAATTATTCTAGAAAGTTCATTCCCAGTACCTCATATCCTCTGAAAGAATCAAATCTAAGTATTACCTGTAAGATATGATTTCCTTTAGATGGTTGGTTAAAAGTTTTCCTCCCACATTTATCCTAAAAGAGAAGAATTCAACTTTGGTTCAGTTATCACATATTCCATCCTAAGAAATAATATGCAAATAAGATGAAATAACATGAAAACTAAATGCAACTCACCGAATAATTGCTTCTTTTTTCTTTTTACTTCTACAATAAGGAACTATATGTGTAAAGGAATATCCACTATCAACAATGATACAGCATAATTCAGAAGGATTATCTCGGAAATACCTATGTGCACTGAGAGCCCCAGCTATAAAGAAAAAATGAATGTGTTAAATAAAAGTATACCATTAGTTTAAAGCAATAAAGAAAGATAGCAGACTAAAGCAAGCACAAAGATGAAAATTTCCCTTTAACTATAAGAAAAAATGTTAATTTATAATAATATTCAAAACTTTCACAAGACGTTTGTAATGTTTAATTTTTTAAAAAATCATACAAGGTAAATATAAAAAGAAATTTGTGATCAGTTTTCAAAAGTAAAGTTCACAGTTTATAAAAATTAGTGAAACAGCAGCTAATTTCTACTGAGGATTTATATGCCAGACTTTATTCTAAACTCATTTAATGAGTGTGGGTTTTAATATACAGAAGAATCCCAACTTACAGATGAGGAACCTGAAATACAGGGATTTAAATAATTTTTCCTAGGGTATACAATTAGAAAGTAGCAGAACCAGCACTCAAACCTAGGTGATGTGCTTTAGAGCAGGATCTCTCAACCTCAGAACCACTGACATTCTGAGTCAGATAAGACCTTCATTGGGGACTTTCCTGTGCATCACAGGATGCACAGCAGCATTTGTGACATATACCCACTAGATGCCATGAGCATTCTCCTAGTTGCAACAACTAAAAGTGTCTCTGAATACTGCCAAATATTCCCTGGGAGACAAAAATCACCCATTGGTTGAGACGATTTCTAGAGATTATGCTCTTAACCATTAGAGCATACTGTTGCTTACACAGACTTAAAAGTTTAAATGCTTTCATGTACACAATTAGATGATATTACCATATCCTTTAATAAACTTGCTTTTAGGTCATTTTTCTTCATATTAAGTAACAGTGTAAGCTATATAATTTCAATAATATAAATAGCAAATAGCAATGACAGAAAATGAACCCAATAATCTTTTGGAGACTAGAATATGTGGCTAATAATTTCATTAGGGAGAAATATCATATTAGCACAAATGTACTGAGAGGTGCAATTATATAAACTAAAGGTCCTAAAGAATGCCACCCAGTATTTTTAGAGTTTCTTTACCCTATTTCTATTTACTTTTTTTTTTTTTTTTTTTTTGGTGGCATAGGGGATTGAACTCAGGGGAGCTCTCCCACGGAGCCACATGTACAGTCCTTTTTTAATTTTTGTTTTGAGACAGGGTCTTGCTAAATTGCCAAGGCTAGCTTCAAACTTGTGATCCTCCTGCCTCACCCTCCAGAGTAAGTAGGATTACAGGTGTGCACTATTGCACCAGTCTCACATAGTTCAATTTTAATGAAAACTCTTTAACTTACCATTTACTCTTAATACTGCTTGGAACTGATATTCTTCAAATAGAATTTCATTCATTGATTCTTGAATTGAAGTGAAGTTAAAATATGGTTCTGTGATAATAATATTAGTATCTAAAAAATCAACCTATGGGAGGAAAAAAAAATCCCCAAAAGTTTTATAATTTGTAGTGACTATCATCAACATTTGTTTTAAATATGAAAACAAAATGATTTAATCACCACAGTAAACCCAATTCATTATTTTTCCCACTTAATAGATGAGAAAATTGAAACAGTAAGGTTGAATAAGTTACCAAGCTTGATATAGCTACTTAGAGATAAAGCTAGGATTTAACCTCAGGGAGTCTGATTAGAGAATCTATGCACTTAATTATTGTATAATCCTACTTTTCTTAATGGTAGCATTAATAAAATGTTATCAAACTGTTAAAAATAATTATGAAATAATAATGAATGATAAAACTACAAGTAGCAGGGCCACTGCTATGTTGTTTTTAAAAGGAAAAAAGCAAGAAGCTTCAAGATGGGGCAGGGGTTGTGGCTCGGTGGTAGGGTGCTTGCCTAGGATGTGTGAGGCACTGAGTTCCATCCTCAGTACCACATAAAAATAAAGGTACTGTGTTGACCTACAACTAAAAAAAATTAGAAAAGAAGTTTCAAGGTATGAATTTAAAGATTACATAAATCTCCCTACAAGTTTGTTGTTGTTTTTTGCAGAATTTTTACGTACAGAAAAATCAGGGAATCCCCATCTAAAAACACAGTGTATGTTTAACCCAATTTATAGTGGCCATTTCTTTAACTTTTTTCTTTTCCAACTGGACAATTCAAGCCACAGATTTTGGACCCAGAACACTGCCTCTCCAGTGATGGTGGGTCTCATTATATCGGTCTCTGACTGGTCTTGACAGCTTCAACTAGCTTATCTAGACCCCCTTTGTCTTCTGAGTTAACCTGTGTGAAGGTGAGGATGGTGCAGGTCTTCCTGTGAGCAAGATGTCCTAGTCTGATCTCCCTTCCCCTTTCTAATGTAATGCAGCAGGGAATCCCCATCTAAAGACACAGATGGGCAGGAAGACATTCAGCTTGATCATATCTTGTGCAATCACCACCAGCTGAGCATTCTTGTTTTCTACCAAGGTGGTAACAATATTAACCCCTGCTCAAAAGATAGGTATTCTCTTAGTGGGAACATCCCCTATGCTGACAGCTTTCTTCTCAGCTCAGGCCAGTAGTCCTTCTTTTGTCTCTTGCTTTGCTTCTCATGTGCACTTGTGCATTAGCTTAAACAGTCTAATATGTGTGTGGCAGTCCACAGCCTGTATGAACTGGTCAATCACAGGATGCACTTTCAGCCATCTAATAGCTGGTAGGCCCTTTGCAGCTGCAGACAGATATAGTGGGGCCATTTAACAAGTGGAGGAAAGGCAGTATGTTTTATCCAATACCAAAATTATTAGGACCTTTCTCATACAGGGGATCTACCATCTTGATCTCTTGCTTCTTCTTGACAGCAGGACCAGGGCCACTTGCTTTCCCCTTGGTCTTCTTTCCTTTGGCATCTTGGGTGGCTGAAGGAAAGTGCTCTCCCACCCATTCTTCAGAAGTAATAACATTTTATACATTGTTTCGATATATCTCTACTCAGACTACATTCTACTCATTTGCATTTATTAAATACTTAGAAAATCAAAGCTAGACAAAGCTATCTTTAAAAGATTGAAATATGTAACTGAAACATTCATAAATCTGTAAATCTTAAAGTGTAAGATTGAATTTTTCATTAGAATAAGACATGGAAATAGAATTTGAATACATACTCTTAATTTGTTACCTGATACATTTCTTTTCCAAAAAGGTAATCCCAAACTTGTCTTTGAACATCCCAATTCACCAAGTAGCCCTAAAAAATTTTTTAATAAATTTAATTAGCAAAAATATTTGAGCAATTTTTAAAAATTGGATTAATATATTCTAAATCATTGAGTTCTATCTCTTTATGGTTACCTTTTCAGTCTAATGCTGTATGAGTATCAAACCAATTATATTGATATGTTGTGTTTTTTTTAATTTTTAAAAAATATCTTTATTTATTTTTATGTGGTGCTGAGGATCAAACCCAGTGCCTTACATGTGCGAGGCAAGTGCTCTGCCACTGAGCCACAATCATCCCAGCCCCTGTTTTTCTCTTTTTTTAAAACCAAAACAAAACAACTGCAGGCATGGTGGCACATGCTTGTAATCTCACCRACTTAAAAAGCTGAGGCAGAAGGATTGCCAGTTCGAGGCCAGCCTTGGAAATTTAATGAGACTCCAACTTGAAATAAAATATTGAAAAAAAGGGTTGGGGATGTCACTCAGTGGTAGATTGGTCTTAGGTTCAATCCCCGGTACCATGTACACACACGCAAAGTTTAAAAATTTGTAAATTAATGAAACCATAATGTCAAGGGTTCAGAGGACACACCAATATATAGGATGCTTTTCTATACTTTTTTCTTAAATTCATGTGTGCACATGAATTGAGATTTAATTTAAGTAATAGTCAGTATTCATAACCAATAACTAAATCATGGTCACTTATTTTAACTAAGACAATTTCAATTTTGGGTTTTAATTAAATATCAGTTAAAATTTAGGTTAACTTTTCTCAAAGATGTAAAAATATTTTTAATTTTGTCCCTAGCATAGCACCACAAAAAAATAAAGTAAAACAACAAAATTTTTTATACATATGCACAACATAATATATACACCTTGGGTCAATAACACTAGAAACAATAATTAGACTACTTTTTAAAAAATATTTTAYTTTCTAGTTATAGGTGGACATAATACCTTTCATTTTATTTTTATGTGGTGCTGAGGATGGAACCTGGTACCTCACACATGGTAGCGCTCTACCTCTGAGCCACAACCCCAGCCCCTAGATTACTTTTTTTTTAATATTTATTTTTTAGTAGTAGTTGAACACAATACCTTTATTTTATTTATTTATTTTTATGTGTGCTGAGGATCGAACCCAGGGCYTGGCACAAGCTAGGTGAGTGCTCTACCAATAGGCTACAACCCCAGCCCTGGATTACCTTTTGAAAAGGAAGGATATAGAAGAGTCCAGAAGGGTCTTTTATTTCATCTATCTGGTTAGCAGTAAAAGTTTTAAGACGTGCTGTTTTTGACCTGAACTGACAATTAGGAATAACCCTAGAAACAAAGAAACAAATGATATAATTATCCCCTAAATATTTAGTTCTTATTCCTACATATGTAATTTTTAAAATGCCTTTATTTAACCATCATCCTGAAGGTCAAAATACCCAAAGCAAGTGTTATTCATTCTGTCTTTAAATAATTTGAAAATGCTTTAAAAAAAAATGATTGTAGTTTGTACCACATTCTATACTGGACCCTTTATCTTTCTCAAATTATCTTCTAGAAACCATTATGGGTGGATATTAGTTCTGCCACTGCACAATAACAATCAGGGCTTTAGTAAAGGTCCTAATCTTTCTATCTTTAATGTGGAAACTCTTCAATACAATTCTGGTAAAAGATACAGAAGTTCAAAATTCTGGCCATAAAATTGTGTTTTCCTGAAACCAAAGATTTTTAAAAATTTATTTATTTATTTTAATTAGGTATATATGACAACAATTTGATTCATTGTACCCAACTGCAGCACAACTTTTCTTTTCTCTGGTTGTACAGGATGTAGCATCACACTGTAAGCGCAGTCAACAAAACCAAAGATCCTATTTTTAATCAATAAGATGCTATAGGGTATAAGTAGGAACTACATTTAAATTGGTTGCTGCTCACCATAAGTTTACAATGTAGGTAGGAAAGCAAACAAGAGCCATTGTCAAACACATTTGTATGCATACACACACAGGCACAATGATGTTAGGATAATGCTGCAGTACCAGCTTACCTCAATTTCTGTACTGTCAGCACTTTCTCTACATGTTTAAATATGCTTGGAGGACATAATTTTAGCAGATTTGCTGTTCTTGATTTTTTTTTTTTTTTTTTTTTTTTGGTACCAGGGATGGAACCCAGGGTGCTTAACCACTGAGCCACATTTTATTTTTTTTCTTTTGAGACAGGGTCATATTAAGATATTAAGTCCCTTAGGGCCTTGCTAAGTTGTAGTGGCACCCCCTCCTCCACAAAAAAGTCTTAACTGGGCTTCTCCAGAAATCTTCACCATGGCTGATTTTAGGACTGTAAGCAAAAGAATCTCTGCAAAAGAGTTCAATGTAGATAAACTACCTATTTTCATGCTTCCCTATTTTCTTGGCCACTAGCCTGGAAGAAATCGGAACTCCAGCTGCTGGACACCCCCTTACTAGTTTTTCACACACACTTATCCAGTATAGTAGTTTGTAGACATGTAAACAAGGCCGCTGGCCTTGAGCTGGAGCTTCACAGAGATGTCTACATTTCTAAGATAAGAGAAGTTACCAATTCGGCTCCATGGTAACAGCTGGCAGGGGGAGGAAGAAAGGGGAGAAGAAGCTCTCCCCTTCTCAGGTGTTGTCCTTGAAGGGTTAACTTGTCCACAACAGTGAAAGAAAAAGCTGCTTTTTGGGCTGGGGATGTGGCTCAAGCAGTAGCGTGCTCGCCTGGCATGCGTGTGGCCCGGGTTCGATCCTCAGCACCACATACAAAAAAAACAAAAGATGTTGTGTCCGCCGAAAACTAAAAAATAAATATTAAAAAATTCTCTCTCACTCTCTCTCACTCTCTTTAAAAACAAATAAAAATAAATAAATAAATATTGTTTTTTTTTTTTTTTTTTTTAAAAAGCTGCTTTTCAGTAAACTTCTGAAGACTGAACTTCTGAGTCCCTCCCCTTACATGCTGGGTATAAAATTCTGAAACTACCTGACCTCGGGGTTAAGGGGATTAATTGTTTACAGCAAAAGCTGTGCTCTCTGAACCTGGCTGCAACCAAATAAAACTGTTTCCCTCTATCTTCGGTGCCTTGTCTCATCTGTCCCTACAACAAAGTCACTAAGTCACTGAGGCTGACTTTGAACTTTAGGATCCTGCTGCCTCAGCCTTTCAGGATTACAGGCATGCACCACTGTGCAAGGACTGTTCTTGATTATTTAGCATGCTTTGCTTTTTTCTATTGTTTTCTAACTGTGCATAGTGTCTATAAATAACTTTAAAATTTTTCTGTAATTATGGAGAACCTCTAGTTAATTCTCTAAGTGATAACAGAATTGAGATCAAGGATATGAACAGTAAGCACACTGCCAAAATGTTTTCCAGAAAGAATGTAATAATGTACATTTCTACTCAGTCTGATTTCCCTCTTTATAAAGAAATAAGTCAGGCATGGTGACAGGCATCTGTAGTCCCAGCTACTTGAGAGGCTAATGCAGGAGGATCACTCAAGTACAAGAGCTTCAGGCCAGGCTGRGGAACAAAGTGAGAACCTGTCTCAAAAGAAAAAACAAGCCAGACATGGCTGTGCACACCTGTGATCTCAGCAAATTAGGAGGCTGAGAAAGGAGGATTGCAAGTYTGAGGACAGCCTCAGCAAATTAGCAAGGCCTGCCTCAAAATAAAAAATACATAAAAGGGGCTGGGGAAAAACTTTTTAAAAATAAAAAGGCAGCTCGGTAACAAAGTGCCCCTGGGTTCAATTCTCTCTACAAAAACAAAAACATAACAAAAAGGCAGGGGAAAAAAGACAATTAAAAGAAGTTAAAGTGCCAGGCACAGGGCACACCTGCAATCCTAGCGGCTCTGGAGGCTGAGGCAGGAGGATCATGATTTCAAAGCCAGYCTCAGCAAAAGCAAGGTGCTAAGCAACTCAGACCTTGTCTCTAAATAAAATACAAAATAGGACTGAGGACGTGGCTCAGTGGTTGAGTACCCCTAAGTTCAATCCCCAGTACCTTCTTTCTCTCCCGCCACACACACATAAAAGTTAAGTACAACACTGGGGATAGAATTCAGTGGTAGAGCGCTTGCCTCAAATGTGCATTTGCTGATTTCTGGATTTCTGGAGAAAGATTTCTGGAGAAGCCTAGTTAAGATTTTTTTGTGTAGGAGGGGGTGCCACTACAACTTAGCAAGGCCCTAAGGGACTTAGTATGACCCTGTCTCAAAAGAAAAAAATAAAAATTTGGCTCAGTGGTTAAGCACCCCTGGGTTCCATCCCTGGTACCAAAAAAAAAAAAAAAAAAATCAAGAACAGCAAATCAGCAGATTCAATAGATTCAATCCCCAGCACCAATACAAAAAGAGAGGGAAAAATGATAAGAAAAAGAATCCTTCGTGAATTTGATCAGGTCTTTACATGTCGGCTTCAACACAAACACATTTTATGAATACACATCTTCTGAATGTCATTGTAGTATTACTGTATAAGTGACCGACCAGGTTAGCCAGTGGACTTCAAAGTCTTCAATGTCTCTAGATCCTAGACGGTGATTTTTTAACTTTTGGGGGGTCATAGAACCCTTTGGGGATCTGATGAAACCTATAATCACATTTTCAGAAAATGCAGCTATACCAAAAACGTTGCCCACAATTTTTGAAGGTTCATGAATTTTGTAGACCTACCCCTCAGTCAGTAACTCATGTCTTGAAGCCTGTTAGGAAACGAAACATACATCCCACTTCCGCAGCTGCGCATCCCAAAACTAAAACCAAAATCAATTCCAGTTCAAAGCATGACAACCTCCAACCCAGCTCCAACCAGCGCATCCCCAGTCTCAGGTTAGAGCCGCGCGAGGGCGTTTCACTGACGTTAGGCATTGAAGCTTAGCATGCGAAACTACTGAGCATAGTCTTGTCCCTCGGAGAAAGCCAATACTTACGAGACATTTTCATGGCTGTAACCGATTTTGGCATTGTAGGCTCCATTATCCAACACTAAAGTCGTCATTTTAGCACTAACCACACCTACGCAACCCTCTTCTTTCCTTTCTGACCCTTCTGCTCAGGCTTTTTCCGGCTCTCTATGGTTTGGTGGGCGGAGCGATAGGCCTCACTTCCGGCTACCTTAGCAACGGAGGATGCCGGAAGTGAGCGAGACCGCTTGTTAGCAGGCATCCATCGTTTCCAAGCCTAACCTGTTTAGGTGGTGGCGAGATTCTACAAGAGTAGAAAAATGCAAAGTCCATTGAGTTGCGCCTGCAAGTGTCTTCTAACCCCTGTAGCGAACGGGGATTTTTTTAGTGTGTGCCCGTCTTTGAACAGAATTGTCCAAACAATGACATTTCTTGGAGAACAAAGTGCAAAATCATATGTAGCATAGAATTGGATATGAGGTCTCTTCAGCCTCATTCCCACCAGATTGTAGGATCCAACCACGAATTACATATGCTTTGTTCAGTCAATCTACATTTTTTTTTTTTTTGTACCGGGGATTGAATCCAGGGCGCTCTACTACTGAACTACATCCCCAGCCCTTTTTTAAAGTTTTTATTATGAGACAGGGTCTCACTCATTTGCTGAAGACCTCGCTAAATTGCTGATATTGACCTCGAATTTGCGATCCTCCTGCCTAAATCTCCTGAGTCGTTGGGAGAGGCACGATGGCGCTTGTCAACCGTCTTTCTTTTTAACTCACATACACAGCCCTCTCTTCTGCCTACTTGTTCCCTAGGACTTAGCTTATTGTGTCTTGTCTAAAAAACGCTTCCTGCGGGGTGCGGTGGCGCACCCCGCTAATTCCAGCGACTCCAGAGGCTGAGGCAGGATACCGAGTTCAAAGCCAGCCTTAGCAATTTACCGAGGCCCTTAAGATACTCAGTGAAACCCTGTCTCTAAATAAAATACAAAAATGGGCTGGGGATGTGGCTCAGTGGTTAAGCGTCTCTGGGTTCAATCCGCGGTACCAAACAAACAAAAAGTATTCCTGTCACACTCAGTTCTCATTCCTGGAATTAGGTTTCCCTCCTATGTGTTCCTGTAATACCCCAGGCCTATATTTCATAATCGTTAAGAGAATTTATTTTGGATTAGAATCCAGATTCTGCCACAAACTGACTCTGTAGCCTTGGGTGATGAAGATAATAAAGATTAAAACTTACACAACACTTACCGAGTGTATGCTGTTTCAACATCTTTTACCCCAGCCCTTTTATTTTTTACTTTAAAGTAGGGTCTCCCTAAGTTGCTTAGGGCCTGAATAAATTGATGAGGCTGGCTTTGAACTTTCAATCCTCCTGCCTCAGCCTCCTGAACTGCTGGGATTACAGACCTGTCCCACTGGGCAGTTTTTCCCAAATCTTTACATATGTTAAGTAATCTTAACATATGTAAACAATTTTATGTTTAGGTATTATTATTATTATTATTATTACTACTATATTGAAACAAAAGAGAAGAAGTGGTTGAGAACACAGCCTCTAAATTTAAGCTGCTGAATCAAATCCTGGATCTGCCACTAGACTATGTCTCAGTTACCTCATATAAAATGAAATAATATTAACATTCCCTTGAAGAATTGTTTCAGGACGAGAAYATTATAAAAGTCAAATACCTAGAAATAATTATTACTATTATCACTGCCTTTGACCATTGATCATCCTCTATTAACTTGCCTAAGTGGTAAATTCCTTGAAGTTGGGCACTCTATTCTATTGGTATCTATATCCCTTTATATAAAAAAGTGCATTGAAGGCTGGGGCTGTAACTCAGTTGCAGAGTCCTTGCCTAGCACGTGTGAGACACTGGGGTCGATCTTTAGCACCACATAAAATAAAATAAACAAATAAAATAAAAACATTTTGTTAAAAAAGAGTTCATTGAATGCTCAATTACATTCAAATTTAATTATTCTGTTTTCTCCAACTAAATATTAATGTAATAAGATCTCTTCAAACAAATGTACTTTATAAATCTTATAGAGCAGTCATTTCATTTTTTTTTTTCATCTCTTAAAATATACTCTTTCAATTCTGTCTCTCCTTTTCATCAGCACTTTTTTTTTTTTTTGGCTTTTCTCACCATTTACCTGCTTTTTAATCAAGATTATTCCTGTTTTTGGCTTTAGCTATTATCAAATACTACATGAAACTTAAAACAGAATTTCTACTCTTAAATATAACCTTATAAAGTTTCCACCCACAAATCCTGAGGAATCCTTAGAGACAACAAATTTGCACCACGTTTTCTCCAAAACTGCTTGTTCCACATATACCACTTATCTCAATTATTGGTGTTCCCCAAGATCCACTCATTGCTCCAAGCTAGAAACCTCAATTGCCTTGATTGCTTATCCTTAACTGGATCTCTGGAATCTGTCATTGACCTTCCTCCATCTCTACTTATACTGTCTTATCTCTCACATGAAATAATGCCACCACCTACTCAATGAACTTTCTGTTTCCAATCTCTACTTCATCCTCTGTACTGAAAGAATAATTATCAGTAAATATTTTGCTAAATAAGAAATACAATTGTTTTCCCCAACTCACCCTCCCAGAAGTCTTCATGGCTTGCTACTGCCTATGAAATAATGTTCAGCTATCACATTTATGAAATCTCATCTCCCTCCAACCCATATTATATCAGTGTACTAGTAAAGTTTAACAACTAGATCTCTAGGAGAAAATGCGCCCTGGATTATAGTGTTCATTTGTTTCTATGCCATGAATACTATCATCATGGTTGATTTCAAACTACTGTGAAGTCACCAAACACTGAACTCAGAGTACATAAGTGATGCACATGATTGGTTTTTATGAGCCAGTTGAACTAGCTCTGGCACAAACCATTCAGTAAAAGTTCTGACTCTCTTCACCTTCACACCATGCACTCTCCCCTTGAAGATTTTGGTACAAAGAATCTCAAGCATGTAGATTCCACTCTTCAAATATATGTATATTTTGACAGTGTGTAATTTTAAGAGCATTAAAAAATGTAATTTCATATATATAATAATGAATATGTGTTAACTGATTTACATGCATTAAGTCATCTTAATGCTTGGATCAGACTTATACCTTATCTTGTTGGCTCCTACATTAATGGATTATTATATATATGTGTGTATGTTTTTTTTTTTTTTTTGTACCAGGGATTGAACCCAGTGGCGCTWATACACTGAGCCATATCCTCAGCCCCTTTTTATATTTTATTTAGAGACAGGGTCTCACTGAATTGCTTAGGGCCTAGCTAAATTACTGAGGCTGGCTCTGAACTTGTGATCCTCCTGCCTCAGCCTCCCTAGCCGCTGGGATTACGGGCATGCACCACTGCACCCAGCCTGGTTAATAAATATTAATGTATAATCATTGCATATTTTATGATAGTTATTCTTTTATTTTTTCAAAATTATACTTTGATAATTGAGTAGCAATTAATAAATGTGTAAATTAATTTAGAAACATTGCTGATTTCATGCTGGTTTTGTGGTATTGTTTATTCTATCAATCCAGAGAGAATAAAAGTGAAATTATTACCATTTTTCACAATGAAAAGGTATTATGATTATTAACTTGTGAGATTCTTTGAAATTATTTTGAAAAGGAATCTGTATGTTGTTCTAATGACATACCATGTATAGCCTTGAACTTTCACACTGTTATCCTTTTTCATAATTGTATTCCATTTGCCAAAATACTCTCTTCTTCCTAGTGAATGGATAACAATAGCTATGATTCTATTGTGTTATGCACTCTTCTAAGTAGTTTTGCTTTATTATCTTGGTAGTCCTCACAATCTCATGGAAGCTATTACATTACAGGGCTCAAAGAGGTTCCACACACTTCCTGTAATCACATAACTAAAAAAAAAAAAATAGGCAGATGGAGTTTCAAATTCAGATCTTTTGGGGGCTGGAGTTGTGACTCAGTGGTAGCATGCTTGTCTAGCACACATGGGGCACTGGGTTCTATCCTCAGCACCAAATAAAAATAAAATAGACATGGTGTCCACCTAAAACTAAAAAATAAATTTAAAAATATTTTTAAAAATTCAGCTTTTTGATTTCAGGGTAAATTATTTTTAATAAATTAAAGTGACTCATTCTTATCTTTGAAATACTACCTCCATTGTACATCTGTCTCTAAATGGTCATGCCCTTGCTTCTGATTTTAGTAATGATAATTAATAGTAATCTAGCATTTAATAAATTTACTATATATGAGGCACTTTGTTAAATGATTGGATACTATTAATATTATCTCTACTAGATGAAATAACTGAGGTAGACAAAGAGTAAAGCACTTTTCTGGCACATGTGAGGCACTGAGTTTTATCCTTAGCACCACATAAAAATAAACAAATGATATAAAGGCATACTGTCCATCTACATCTACTAAAATATAAATAAATAACTTTTAAAATAAATAAATAAATAAATAAATAAATTTTAAAAAGAGAAGATTAGTTCCACCAATCTCTCTTCTTTATCTTTTAAAATATACAAGTGTTCACTGTGTGTGTGTAAACTAAAACACTTCTAATGTATACAGAGAGCTGCTATGGACCAGGTTATTGTGACAACTAAGAGCCTGGGGGCAGAGAGTGGTTTACAGGCAAGCAGAAAGCTCCTGTCCTGTGTTGATTGTCTATAAAACTGTAGGTAGACCAGTCTATCCAGTTATCACCTGGAAAAAAACAAAGTGAAAGGTTCAGCTAGTCTGAAAATGCTTACTGTACCCCATAAACTGAATCAAAGATATTTTGTTTATTCCTCTACAGATACAAGTGATCTCCATTAAAATTATTTTCAAGGTAGGAAACAGGAAGTTGACTGAAGCAACAGGTGAGGTCTGGGGCTAAAAAACAGCATCGCACTTGAGCATAGGAACTGAGTTCCATGTGGCCTGGCCTGATATTCCCCAGGGCATGGCCAGCTTTAATGAGTCTTCTCTAGGAAGACTCCAACACCTGTGACATGGCCGCTATACAAGCTCAAAGGAGTTGTTCCCCATAATAGGGATTTTCAGCAATGAGTTGTTTTTGTGGATCAGAGCTTCCAAGTAGTTCAATTTTATTTTTGCA